AGCTGAATAATACTGCTCAGTAGTGCGTCACAGCACCGACAGTGCCAATACACTACTGTGTGGTATTTTTAAGCTACTGCACAGTAGCATCATTTAAAAGATTCACCTGCACTACTTCACAGTATCTCCAGTTACTGAACATTTATTTATGTACTATTTACTGTGCATTTATTTATTTATGCACATTGATTATACAAGTACAGGCAGTCCTCAGACTTACGACCCAATTGGTTCTTGAAAATTGCGTCTTAAGTCAAAACATAACTCAGAACTAATTTTCCCATAGGAAACAATGTTATAAATGGGGGCCTGTTCCTAAACCAGGGCCCAATACCCTATTTTCACCAAAAATAACCAAGAATTTTGTACTCGATCAATTATAGATGAGTAATATAGCTACGTTAATGTATTTATATTGTAAATAGCATTCATGTTATTTGGAAGGACTTCTTTCAGGTGAATTTGCTGGACTTTCTGAAAGCCTCCTGGTTTGACTTTTTGAAGGGTTCTTGGCTGGAGTCTTCTCAGGAGTCTTGGCCACAAGTTTTTCTGGAGTCTTGTCTGCTTTCTTTAAGGAAGTGTCCAAGGAAGTTTGGGCAGATGTTCTCCAGGGAGATGGGTGACACAGCGAACTTGTTCTCTGGTGTGGCATTGCGTCAGATCAAGTGTTGTAAGGTCAAAATGGATGTCAGAAAGTTGAAACAGAGTGTCAATTTATAAATGTTGTAAGTTCAAAATGTTGTAACTTGAAATGTTGTAAGTCAAGGACTGCCTGTACTAAATAAATGCTCAGTAGCATCTCATGTAGATACTCCCACTAAGTAGGTGCAGCAGTGGAGCATACAGGGAGCCCTCTTCCTTCTTAACCATGGATAGTTAAGGGTATCCAATTTGTTTGACTGCTGTTACTTCAGAGATAAAAATTGGCCCAGGTTAGCTACTCTGCATTAACTACTCTGACTTCCCAGTATGAGTCATATAGGCTAGAGACAGAAGTGACACATAACCAGTTTAAGTCATCAGAAACTGCTTTAAACCTGTAACAGAAGTTCAGTGCACATAAGCCAGTTTCAAAATGGCTAAAACTGGTTTAACATAAACCTGGTTGAATGTAGTATAACACTTAACTGGTTTCAGTCAAACAAGTTTATGAAACTTCTGTCCCAGACTTCTTCCTGGTTTAAGTTAAATCAGAGTCCCCCAGCATGCTTTGCAGCCCTAGGCCGGACTGTGCTGTCTGCTCCAGCACAGAAGGTTTGTGGGGGAGAGGCCCCCAGACATCAAGTGAGTCAAAGCTTTTACCATCCCAGTGATCTACACTAGATACAAAGTGAATCTAGAATTTATTCACCTTTGGACTTCAGAAAATATTGAAGAAAGACCTAGGAATTGCTATGTCACCTGCTATCCTAAAAGCATCAACTCACATTGAGAAAAATTTGGAAGGTGTTGCTATAGCAACTTTGTTCCCTTCCTCATTGAAGCTCACATAGTATCATGAGGGGGTTGCTATGACAATCTCCAATCTAAGCACCAGCTGCTTAGAGGTAAAGTCTGGAGGGGTTGCTATGGAAACCATTTTCCTATTAAGTCATCAACAGGGCTGGTTTCTTGGCAGTGTCCTACCATAATTTCAATGTATTCACAACCTAAAACAGCCATCCATTCTTACCATGACCACAATATAAATCCCACCACACCATTCTGTTCCCCACAGTTCTTTACTAGACAAGACTGACTTTTTTATTTTCAAACATAATAGCACCCCCAAATCGTGGAGCATTTTAAAATACATGGGAGTTTTGCTAGATACAGTTGTCCTTAAAATCATCTTTTGTACAATAAAAGACCAAAATAATTGACTAGATAGTATTCACCAAACTCCAGTTACTGAAAATCCCTGTTCATCTCTAAAATCTCTGCTATAAAAATGACTTTGTTTTAAAACCTCCCTTTCCTCTGCATCAGGAAATATTTGTCACAGTTACTAGTTAGCAAACCTTTTGTTAGATACTGGCATAATGGATTGAAATGTGGTCACAACAGATCAGAGAATGCTCATATATTTGACATCCCAAATAACATTTTCATTAGTCAACTTTCACCTTGTCCTCAGTGCTTTTCCAGTGCTTGTGTACAGACTTTCAGATTTTGAATGGCTATATCAGGTAAAGATCAAACATATTATCAGGCCATCTAGTTCTCAATCAACATGCAAGGAGATAGAGACTGTCCCCACAGATACTGAAACAATCCATAAATGTTTAACTAAACTAATGTGAGACAGCAAACCACTGTTCTCAAGTAGGGAAAAAACACGTAACTATGGAGAGCTTTGCCTGTCTACCACTGGATCTTCTAGGGCATCCCTACATCAGAAGCTGAAGCTTTTTTTGTGAGACCCACATAATTATCCTGTCATATCTTTGACCACAGAATTACTAGTTTCTTCTGCACAGTGTTTCCTCTGAAATCAAAAGGTCCTGAACGAGGTCATGGGATAATAGAAATCCTCTGATACTCTTTTTAAAGAGACGGGCAGATACTATTTCACTCCTAACCGGAGGGACATGTGAACATATCTTCCACAAGACAGGGACAGTCTCAAAGGTTACCTATGCACTTCATTCTCACACATTGTGACTTAGTCTGGTATAATACAGAAATCTTAACTTACTCTATGACTTGAGATGAAGATATTCAAAGATAATTTTTCACCCCTAGGTCCTGAGCCTTAAATCTGAAGAAAACAGTTTGCCAAAGCCCCAAAATATGAGTTTCTTGTAGCTTATATCTATACCTTTTTCAATGTTTCCAAAAAAAAGTTTCTTCCTGGCAGTAATCTTATCAGTCAGTGGAGTGAAAGGGCATAAGACCAAGAGTTTGATACACTTTTTGGCATATCCTTCTATCCAGGTACAAATCGGATCTGGTTATTGCCCTGTTAAGTTAGCACCTTCTCCAACATACCCACCTATGAAACCCCTCAAAGAAATAATTAAAATGGCTGGACCTGACCCTTACTGTACTAATAATAGGAATGACTTCACTGAAGTGAAGTCAATTACATGTATAAAACTGGTTAAACAGAATTTAGTTTATAGTTCCTGTAGAACTTATAGTTCAAACTTGGGAACAGAAAGTTAAGAGTGATGAAGGTCACACAATTACTAAATAAGGTACATACCCATTCTGGTGGTTCCATTAACTTAGATATTTGGGGGGGTTTTAACTCTATGTATGTAACATGGCTTAAGTGAGTCCTTTTTAACAAGGACAGAGGCTAAAGAAGTGACTTAGTGTGGAGATCTGATTCACGTAGAATAACAGCATTATCAAACATACAGAGACAAAAAAAGAGGAGAAAGACTCAAACACGTCTTAATTAACATTTCCTGACTCATGACTTAATTAGGAAGAATCCCTTGTAAGGTGACTGAAAGTAGTTTCAAGAGCTAATACATGCGTAACCAGTAAGAATGACACCATGCATCAGGTAAGTGGGACAGAATGCTTACATGGCACTAGAATCGACTAAGCACGGCCTCTTTGAAGGGTGTTTGTTCCTTTGGAATGCCAGTATTTACCAAGAGGGCATGAAACAATACAGGAGATATGCTTGCATTCAGAAGTAAATAGAGTGTTTGTTTTTCTATAGCCATTCCTAAGTGGAGGACACAAAAACTTAGCATAGATATGAGCATTTAATTTAAGAAACTAAAAATATTTAAAACACCAGAGATACATAAGTATTTTGAAAACAAGACTGCCTAAGTAAGTACTTATTAATTCTAATAATAATTGTGGATTTTAGCTGCATCTAGAAAGCTATTTGAAAGCCTACATGCTGCAATTCAGCGGGTGCATCTATATGTGCGCTTTACTGCAGACCTGACTAATTGGCTTCTCATTAAAGCACCACTGTCTACATATGCACCTGTCTTAGGGTGCAGTAACTTAATTAACTCTTCTGTAGGATAGGACTGCCTAACACAAGTACTATCCTACAGCAGAGTAGTTACATGCACTGAAATGCACATGAAGACAGTGGTGGCTAGCCCCACACTGTAGCACCCTCATACCCCAGCCAGCCCCTCCGCAGCATGTTGAACTGGGTTGGAGCAGCCTCCAGCTGGCAGGCTGACCCCCAGAGTCCCCTGCCAGTTCAGGGATGCTCTGCCCCATCTCAGTGTGCAGTGGTCCTGGGTGCACGTGTAAACACTATGCCTCGGAGAAATAAACTCCAGCGTGAGCTGCACCAGAGTGTATTGCTGCATACTAATTGCATGTGTACGTGCACCCAGTTTGAACATTAATATTAAAAAACTTTAATAGTGTATTTTATAATATTCATGTTTGAAATATAGGTTATTTTAAGATGCAAATTGATTTTATTTTTCTGAGAAATTTTGTTCTCAGTTTTAAGGATTCAGAGAGAAATCAACTGTTTCACATATAGGTATTTGGCAATTTTGTGACCAGACATTAATTAGAGACATCTCTGTCTCTAAAACATTTGGGTGTAAGAATGGTTACTACTGCCATTCTGTTTAACTTGATTCACTACTAGGTTAAACACAATGCAATCTGTAAGTATAACTATTTACATACAGAGGATACTAGCTATGAAAGTAAACCCATTAAAACATACACAGTAAGCCTGATAATATATAATATAACCCCATAGTTCCATTCCAGAAACTTCAAATAATTAAGCTGGTAATTCATTCTTCAGTCACATCTCCCTTCCATGTCTTTCTGAACCAGGCAAAGAATAAACATTTTAGTCAGCAAACCCCAAGGGAAGTAAAAATGGAGAGAGTGGTTGCATAACCAACTTGCATTGTGAGGAACAATGATCCTGTACCACATAGGGAAATCTGCAGTGAAGAGGTGTGCTTCTATGAATCCTGTTCATAAGGACTAATTCATAAGAGAGTTTTGGAAGAAATAGTAGGTCACTATTAGATACAAGTAAATGAGAGAGAATGTTCTCTCACTGAAAATATCTGTTTCACTTACCTGAAACACTTTTGCCAAATTATCAAACAGAGCTTGACCAGCACTGACTTTATGTTTAACTCCTCTGACTGTACCATTTTTGCTTAGAATGTTGACTCGTTTTGTACCAAACCCCTTGTCTTTAGTTGCTCTTGCTAAAATGAGCAAGTCATCCTGCTCATTTTCATTTTCATCACACTCCGATCCTAAATGTCCATTCTGCTGTCCATCCAGTTCACTTAGTCTGCTGTTCTGGTCAGTCTCCGAGCTACTGGCACATTCAGAATCTAAAGAGTCTGCAGTTTCTCCATCTGCATACACCTCCTTTAGTACTCTCCCACTATAAGAAGAAGCAATTCGAAAGCGGACTTTCCTTGACAGTCTCTCAACTTCAGTCTTCATCTCATTTTTAAGCATCGTCATACCCATTGACATCAGCAGTTTACATTGTTCTGGTTTCGTTGTCACTGTATTTGCCAGTTTGTCACACTTACAACAGAGAGATTTTCCAGTGACAACAGGACTCATATTGAACTAAAGTCTAAAAGAAAGAGGATTCCCAAGAACCTACACTGCCGTTCTCCAGTTAATAATGAATGTGTTTGTGCTATGGTTACCTTTAAACTAAAACCTGAAAATTGATATCATCAATTAAATATTAAAGAGGCATTGTGTAGTTTTTTTAGCACCAAGGAAGAAAGAAAAGGAAAGCAGGAAAGAAGGAAGTGTTAATAATTATTGATTTAAAGAGAAAATAATATCTAAAATTAGTATCAAATTAATATGTAAAAAACAAAATAATAACAATTACATTATGAGAGTTTATTTGAGGTAAAGGTCTTTTCGAGAGAGTCAAAAGGGAAGGAAAAATTTTCTTTGGCATTCAGTTCCATTGTAATTATACTTCTGTTTTCTCTGCTCCAGGTTTGAAGAGAGGCCAATGATGGATGCATAGTTTTAAACAGACCGATAAGCTCTTGATAATAGGTTAAAAGCCAGTATTTACTTTCCATGCAATTCAGTGGAAAATCAATGGGAGTTTACAAATAAGGGCAGAATTAAATGTGTATATTTGGTGTTGGTGGCCTGCTCATACAATGGTAGAAAGAAAAGCGAATAAACACATTTTTGATACACGGGTCACATCTATATGAGATGCTACTGTTCAGTCATTACTGCACATTTATTTAGTATTTGTATTAGCAAGTACTAAATAACTGCACAGTAACTGGAGTTACTGCGCAGTGGCACTAGCGAACATCTTTTAGATGATACTACTGCACAGTAGTCAAATAATATAGTATTCCGTGCTGTGATGTGCTATTGCACAGTATTTTTCAGCTACTGCACAATCAGCATCTTGTGTAGACATGCCCACAAAGTAACAAATAAATATATAATAAACTTAGACACAAGCAATACTTTGCAGTAGCCCTATTTCTATTCTGTTTTATAAATCATGATAGGCTGAGTTAAGGGTGTCTTGAGAAGAGGTAGAAAAGAAATAATTCAGGCCAACAACAGGCAAATGAAGAAAAATGGGGCAAGAACAGGGAGTAGGAACGAGTTTTACATGCTTGGATCCACCACAAGAGATCACAACCATTTAGTGCAAGCTTCTACTTCTTCTGAAACGAGTGAGACTAAACATGGAGTAACTCCTATAACTGGAACTAAGCCCTTACTGATTTTTAAAGCTAAATGGTATATTAGTGACTAGGGCTGTGTGAGGCTTCAGACCATGCTTTGGATCCAGAGAAGCTTTGGATGCTTTGGCATCTGAAGCAGCATGTCTGGATCAAAATTCTGGCTTTTTTCAGCTTTCCAAAGTGGTTCAGAGCTTTCAAACCTCTTCGGAAAAGCTTTGGAGCCGCCTTGGAGATCCAGCCATAGGGTATAATGGGGAATCAATGAAGTATCTATAACGTTGTTGTTTTTTGTCTAAATTGGATGACACTTGCAGGGGCGGTAGCCTCTGCTGAGAGCATGAAGCCTGCCAAGTCTCAAGAAGATTGGTGAAGAGGTTCGGAGGAAACTGCACCCCAACTTCTTGAAAGCAAAACTGATGTCATGTGTATGTGTTACACCACAGGGGGAGGTGGGGGGTGAAAGTGGCAGGGATGGTTACCCCTGCTGAGGCCATGAAGCCTGCCAAGTTTCAAGGTGATAGGTGCAGGGGTTTGGGGGGAACTGCTCCTCAAGCTTCTGACAGGCAAAACTCATGACATAGATAACACTGTGTGTGTTAAGGCACAGTGGGCTGAAAACTGCAGGGATGGTGGCTCCTGCTCAGGCCACAAGGCCTGCCAAGTTTCAAGGAGGTAAGTGCAGGGGTTTGGGGGAAACTGCACCTCAAGCAACAAAGTTATAGATATTTGATTGATTCCCCATTATACCCTATGGCCAGATCTCCAAGGCGGCTCCGAAGCTGGATTGAAGCAGGACCTGATCCGGAGCTCTGGATCGGATTGCTGGCACCCTAAGAGGCTGGATCTGAATCCAAATCAAATCGCTGCCAACTCGCACAGGCCTATTAGTGACCTGTCAGTACTAAATTCAAGCAGCAGGTTTCTGTGCAGTGTATTAATTGCTTCAAGAATAAAAGTCATAGGCAGCCAGTATAAACATATTTGTTTGGAGCAGTTTACATTTGAAGAAATTGCACATTTTCTACTATATAGAATATAGTGAATGGTTCACTCTAGTATTCATGGCTTGATACAGAAACTTCAGGCCATGTTGTTGAGCTGTCATTGGTCACATAAACCAGACCCCCAGGGTCCCCTGCCAGGCAGGGATTCTCCACCCTGGCTTCACATGCTATGCCTGAACGAACTGCAGAGCTTATTACTTTAGCATCAGTTGCTTCTGGGCACATGTTCAGAAGGCGCACCCAGGAGCAGTTAAGTCCAGAGCAATAAGCTCCACTTTTTATTCAGGCACTATAATTGCACATGCAGATGTGCCCTGGTAGTAGTATAAATACTATGTAGGATACAGAAAAATCAGGCATCTAGACTCTAGGACCACATCCACACAAGCGTAGACATTTGGTTCCTCAGGGGCAATTAGCAGTGGGACATCTTGTGCCTCTGCTAGTTGTCCCTGGGGAAGGCCTGTGTCACATGCCCTCTGGCATATAGCAAGTTGCCCCAGGTTGGGTACGGGAGGTGAGGGCCAGTACTGGGCTGGCTCCAGCAGCCTTACCTAGGGTCCTGGGGGCCTCCTGGGGCTGCAGCAGTGGCAATCCTGCTGCTCAGAGCCTGGTGGGCAACCAGATCACAGCTCCTGCCAGTCAGGTTCCAGTTTTGAGTGGCATGCGCTGCCCCCATGTGCCCCACTCCACTTTTTTATTTGTGTGGGTTCTTTTTCAGAAACCCCTCCACACTGCTCCCTTGCAGCGAGGAGAATAGCTGAATGTGTAGTATGTGGCATGTGCAGACATGCCTGCAGCGTCACATACTGCATGGCTGCACACCTCTGGACGTGGTTTAGGATTACATCTTCTCTTCTTCTCTAATCTATGAATTAGGAATACTAAAGGGTAATGATATTTCATAACAGTGTGTAGCTGTCAAACATTTTTCTCCTGAAAAGATGTAATTTGAATAATAAAATGTGATGTGAATAATAATCAACTATTATTTTTCAGAGAAGAAATGCTCTAAAATAATTAATTACAGGAATAAAAAGATTTAATTCTTTAGAAAGCAAAATATCTTATCAAATTGTACTTTTATCAAATATGTATATCAGACATTTGATAAAAAAAATGCATTCTCTCCATAGGCTGAATCACAGATTACAAAATTGCTACTTACCCACATGACCTATGAGAGCCAGCACAATTCATTATTAACATCACTTAAAATTAATAATATTTTATAGTACAGTAATTATTCTACTAGTTTTCTTTCTTCAGCTTCAACAGTAAAATTCAACTGTTTTGCAAGGACTTTTGAATATGTTCCAAGTTTTGATTCCTTGCATCAGTTATTTTACACAACAAATTACTATTTTTCTCCTCTAGTAGATAACATGCTTTCTTTATTAGGGACTTGATCTCATGCCAATTGGACTCAGTGGCAAAGTTCTGCAAGGCTAAGCTCTTTCTGTGATTAAAGGCTGACTTGGACCATCTAATAAAAAGTGTTAATGCAACATCCAGTAAATGCAGGCATCATCTTCTAATTTAAATTATGTTCTAAACTGTGTATTAACTGAGTATGAATACTTTATTATAAGATTATAAGATAATTCCACTGTGCAACAACTCAACATTTCTTTGGTGAATACTATTGATGAATGAGTGGTTATGAAAATGAAAAACTTGAATGCTTTGGTTGTCAGGAGTAAGGTAAGTAAATACTGATGTGGAAATCAGGACAGGATCACTGTTTGGCTAACAGAAGCACTTTATTTTACATGGCCACGGGAGATCAGCAAGAGGCGGCTGATGCTCAACAGAAAAAGGACACAGGTTCTGTTATATACTTGTGAGAAAAAGACACAGATCAGCCTCCCCCTTAATACATTCTTGGCAGTCTGACAGTAACTCACCCTGGAGTCTTGCTAGACTAAACTCATTTTCTCCAGCTGTCTCCCAATAAGCTAATGTTCAAGGTCTGTTTGTTATTTGGCCTTTACGTATGCTCCTTATTATGGCCTAACTTTATTTTGCTTGCTCCAGTATTTTTCCTCATCATTCCCCCCTCGTAAGCACTTGTGCTTACATCTCGACATTCATAAGCCCTTTGACCTCTTCTTGACGCACACACTTGTAGGCCACTTCTCTGAGCACCATCATCTGCAACTCAGTTGCAGACAACGTAGAAACACTCTGGGCAGTTTCTGATAAGCAAAGGCATGAGCAGCACAAAATCATTTGGATAATAATAAAAAGAGCAAAAAGGCATAATACGCTTATAATGCACCACTTCAATAGGAATTTCACCCATCCCCCTATGTTTGGCAGCCAACCCCACCAATCGAAGAATTTCTCTTCGGCAACAGCATGTATTACTTGCACCTGCTTTCTTCTAGTGCAGAGATCCCCTTGCACTCGTTGATGCTGATCTATCCAAGTGCAGCACGTGTGGTTCACAACAGCACATACTCCCCCTTGGGCGGCTAGGAGATAATCCAGGGCCATACGATTCTCAAAAGCTAATTGCCCCACCTGGGTAATCTCATCATTGAGAGCTCCTAAAGCGTCGGCACTAGCATTGAAAAAGGTCTCCATGACTCCCGAAATATTTATTATAGCCTTTTCTAATTCAGCTACACCTAGCCAAGGGAGGAACACCCTGGTGAACTGGTGAAACCCCATGTGTTGGAGAACCAGTGGGTTCTCAACCGCATGCCGATGTCTGGGCAAGCCAGGCAGGAAGTTAGACACTTCATGCCAAGAGAGGTTAGAGTGCAAGTCAAATTTC